TTTTTGTAAATTAAATTGACGAACACGTTAAATGTTCACTACAAAATTTCCATTTTGTGATTAAATTCAGATATAGGCCTACTTAAAATTTTTAATTGAAAATTAATGTTTAATATAAGTTTTTGTATTCGAGTTTGCTTATAAATCTAAATCTATAAAAAAGTTTTTATTTTTCAATTTTTTATTTAAAAAAAATATTAAAAAAAACAAATTTTTCACGTCAAAAAGTTAAATTTACATGTAATAATTTTATTATTTTTACTGTCAATTCTTTATTCCATCCAAAAATGATAAATCAATAATACATTTATCATTTTCATTTGTAAATTGTAATATTTTATTTATATTTTATATTGAGCATATCAATATAATAGACCAACAAATTTTTGCTTTTAATAATTTAAATTTTAAATATAAAATATATCTGAAAGATATAGATTTAATAAACCACATTCTACTACAAAATTAATCAATATTCTAAGAATTTAAAGAAAAACTATTTCCGTACATATTATTTTTATTAATATTTGTTTTCATTAGAAATAATTACTATACTGTACACGATAATATATTTAAAATGCATTACTATTCGATTACCTTCGTTATTCATTATTGTAAATGATAGATTTTATGATATTATACACTTTAGCCAAAGGAATTACGAAAGCAGCTTCAAAACATAAATTATAGATACAGTGGTACCTCAGGATACGAACGCCCCAGCATACGAAATTTTCAGGATACGACATGAAATTCGAACATATTTTTGCTCCACGATACGAACAAAAACTCACCATACGACGTTACATTAGTTCGCATTTTTCATTTGTTTTTCTTACTACAGTTATTTTTTTTAATGTATTACTTGGCTTTAATTTGAGTATGTTTTTCGCGTTGGAACGAATTATTTGGTTTAACATGTAATCGTATGGGAAAAGTTGATTCACCTTACGACATTTTCATGATACGATCTCAGTTTCGGAACGGATTAATTTCGTATCCTGAGGTACCACTGTATAACGTAATATTCTATAATCAAACTGTAGAAAACATAATAAATTTATAATTAATTTGAGCCTTTTTTTAAACATAATTAAATTTTTTAAAACTTACAGTAAAACGCTATTATTACGGAATAATTTTCTTAGGAACTAGATGAGATAACAGATGGCAGCACAATATTTTTTTTAAATGCAAATCTTCTATTTATTGCTTTTATTTTTTGTAGTAAATATAGTATATAAAATTTCAATATGTTAATATTTAACAAAATCTATTATTTAAATTAAAATTTTTATTAATTTAAATAATAATTAAACGTAATTTATTCAATTACGTTTCAATTTACTTAAACAATTATAATTGAACCAATATTTATTTATGTTAGAAATATGTCTTAAAATAAAATTAATACTTATATCATATTTAATTTTATCTCAAGCAATATTTGAATGAAAAACAAAAAATTTCATATAAAAGATTATATTTACAATCTTTTTTAATATTAAATATGTTGTTTAAAAATCACTATAAAATTAAATTTTATATTTTTCTAATATTTATAAATATAAAAAAAAGCAAAAAATTGTATAAAAATAAAATCATTTCTTAAAGCAAATTAGTGTCATCTGTCGTCAAGAAAAGTTATTAGAAAAATACATTTTTTTAATTTAGTATTTATCATTTTTGTCAACAAATAAATTTAACAAATTGCTGATAAATAAATTGTATTAATTTATGCTATTTGGTATTTATATAGAGAAAATAGAGATTAAAAATATTATATTATATTTGAGATGAATATAACTAGATGGCAGGACGTTTCGATTACAAAAGAGCGTTTTTTCTAGTGAGGAAAAAGTTACTCCTCCCATTTAGGCCTCTTTTCTCCGTGAAAAATTGTTCGGAATAAGGATAAGAAGCCATTTTTTACTTAACTTAAACTATCTTTTGTCCATTTATTCAAATTTTTTATTAAAATAAAGAATATAATTTACAGATATCAAGAAATAAACAAACCGATTCAGCTAATAAATTGAGCATTTAGTTTTATCAATTAACATAATTAAGAAATATTTTATTGTTTGTACTTAATATACTTTATACACGTAAAAAATATGTTTTTCATATAGATAATCTTTTAGTAATTAGCTGAATTGTTGCAAAGTCTGTGAGTAATGAAAGGATCGCAAAAACAAGACCCTTTTTTTTGTTTTTTTAACGGTGAGTATGATTTAATTCTGTAGTAGGATACTATTGAAGATCATCTTGAAAAACAAGTTGTTGATACCAAAGATGATAACTGCTTTTATTTTATCTTATACATTTATCTAAATACGGCAATGATAGAAGTTCATGAGCCTATAGAGTCAGAACAATTCTAAGTGCAATTTTCTCAAATTTATGGCAGCTACAAATATTTTTATGCATTTTATTTTGATTATTATTATTATTATTGCTGTTGTTATTATTATTATTATTATTATTATTATTATTATTATTATACTGTAAATTAAATATAACTAATAATATCTGTAATATTTCAAAATTAAATTCCGAAATTTTAATTTGTCAATTCGCTGTCAGCTTCTAATTTTCTGATCTTTGATATAAAATTATTATTGACAGCAATTAGATTACTTGAAATCCAAGTTAAAACCACATAACTCAATTTTTGTCAGCTTGAATTAATTGATATTTTTGTCCACTTTGGAAAAAAATACATTATAATTAAATTCAATAACAATTGATTCTTCTATTAGATTAAAATTGTGATAAATTAATAAATNAAATAAATATTATACTAATTAGATATAAGGAAATGAAAGCCAATTATGATTCCATTATATTAATTTCTGTGTTAAAGTTAATGTAATTTTTCAGATTTATATATTTTATTGATATTAAAAAAATATGAAGATATATATCTATGAATTTTTACATGTATGTATAAATACAAATGGATAAATAAAAATTAATAATAATAATTATACAAATTATAAAAAGTCAGTTTTAATGCTTGATTTTAAATTAAATTAAGAAAAACAAACTATATTTTTTATGCTTTTATTAAATTTCAAATTTTATATAAATTTATTCCTGGAAAAAATTATCATTTATTTGATTATAGATTCCATTTTTGAATAAATTATAAAAAGAAATAATAATGAGAGGAAAATATTTTCATTATTCATAATAATAATTATATAACAAAAGTATATAGAATATAGGCCTACTGAAAATTAAACATTGGTATTTAAAACACCTAGAAACAGTTATCTATAAGCTGATTTATGTTCAGAAATATTAAATAAGATTTTGCTGATATAAAACTTTTATACTTTTATTAAGTAAAAATAAAGAAGCCACATAAAATATGGTTATTATGAAAATTATTAAACAAAATTCTACAATACTTTAAACCAAATGACATATCAGCTGAAGTTTAAAATTCAGACAAAAATTGACTTCGGTGATCCTTAAAAATAAATGTAAAATAATTTTAAAAAATCGGATTGCTTGTCATTTTACTAGAAAATAATTAAGTTTCGCTGTAATAAATTTATCTTAAATAAAAACATTAGTGTAGTAATATTCTGGACACAGCTGCATTCTAATTTTGGTATCGTCTAATATAGAATATGAAATATGTATAGGCCTATATATATTAATGCATGGCTAAATTATCATTGCATCTGATAAATTTTAATTTAATTCATTTTAAAATATATTTATTAAATTTTAAGATGTAAAATTAAATTTATTCTCGATTTTTGTTAAAAAAAAATTATACATATTAATCATTTTAAGTGTCTACATATTATTCCAGTCAATATTTTTTCAAATCAAACTTATAAAAAGTAAATTCTTCAAACAATTGTATATTTTAAAATAAAATTTTATTTATTTAGATTATTTAATTACATGTACTGCATACTTGTAGGGACCGGATTCTCATATAAGTTAAAGCTGCAGTTTAGGGCCTCGTGTTATGAATCTATAGCTTAGAGCCTCAAATTTTTACATGTATAATTATTTAATGGAGGGGGAAGGGCCTGTTATATGTTATAGCTTAGGGACACAACAGGTCTAAGTCCAGCCCTGCGTACATTATCAAAGTTTATGTTTGTTTAGCGGGAATAAAAGTTACGTAAACTATAATAAAACACAGTAGAGAATATTTATATTATATTATATCAAAATTCTCTAAAATTATCTTGAAATTTAAATGAATGGCTTAATTATTTAATATAAAACAATTAAAAGATAATAAATAATTGAATGTGTAAGAAGAAAATGAGTACACTTTTTCTTTTTCGTGACAGTTTTTAATAAAATAAAATACTGTAAAGTGTAAAAATGCTTTTTGAAAAATATAACAATAATCAGATACCTTTCTATCAAAGGTAATTGTTTTTTATAAATAGAACTTTTTTATTTTAAAAAAGGGTCTATTTATAAAAAATAATAATTGCAGAATAATTAATCTGGCAGAGACGATAAATGAACGTGTTTATTACGGACCTTTTGGACTTCAGAAAAATAATTTTTGCAATTTTATCTTAAATGTCGACTTATTAATAATAAGATGATATGAATAGAAAATTCTAAAAATTTACATTTATGATTGTTAAAACCGATTACATTTGTTTGTATTTACATAAATACATAGACATCAAAACAATAATTTATTTACAATATCACTTATTTTCTCATGATTTTTTTAATGATGATGGTTTTTCAATCTACTTTAAATAAATTTTTTATGAGGTTGTTTATAAAATTTTGTATACAATATTTACAATAATACAATTTTCGATAGGATATTTAATTTTCACTGCGACAATTTTCAACTTAATTATTAAATAAGACAGAAATACATATACAGTATATTTATATAATGCCTATTCCGGACTTTAAAGTGTTTATTTAACTGTTTAAATTTTTAAATAAAAATCTGTCGGTTTCTTAAATAAACTAAAAATCTTTGATTTTAGTTAATTAATTTATTTATCGATTTTTTAAAAAATAATTAACAGAAAATCTATTCCTAGACAGTCTACCCATCGGTAAACTATTTCTTCAAGTTGTCTTCGCAAATAGCCTATTATTTACAAGTCTTTCGTCATTATAAATATTAATACCATAATCTACAGCACATTTTCTACAAGCCTCTCGCCAGACATCGCTGTTTCTCGAAGATTATCCCAATATAAATGGTGGTAAAGGTCCTACAAAACGTGTCCTTAGTCTTATAGCTGGTTTTGGCTTGCTCTCGGGAACCATTACTCTATTTCTTATGACATGATATCCAGTTTTATCTGCTTTATATTCAACAACATGTAAAACACCCGAAAGATCTACATGGCCATAACGCCCCCTGATGATACCGTCCGAAGTTCTCTCTTCTCTTCTAAATGATTGGTTTGGTCCCGAACCAGTGTCGTAACCAAACTTATATGTTCCTGGACCATCATAATCGCGAATATAATAATTTGCTCTGGTTCCAGCAGGAATTGGCACTTCTCTTCCATAACCCCAGGGCACAGTACTTACTGTAGTAGCTGCTGATATGAAGAAAACGAACTGTAAATAATAAAAAATTATTAATAATCAAAATTGATTTTTTATTTATAATACACAAACTTAATTTTAACTAAAAGTATAAATTCTTAAATGTAAATTCATTAAATTGATTACTCATCAACCAAAAAGTTACTTTTACTATTTTACACTAAATAATAACGTTTTAGACTTATTTAATTAATAAATTTAAGTTAATCTAGATTTTTGAAATAAGATTTTGTACACTTAGATAATAAAAAGTAAGAAATATAGATTTCAATAAAATAAAATTTTAAGAAAAAATTATAATTTTACGTAAATAAAATAAATGATTATAATATTTTAATTTTAAGAAAAAGTAAAGAAATCAATAATAATAATTAAAATAGAAAAATTCAACATTGTAAAGATCTTGATTGTTTTATATCTGCTCTTTTAATGCAACTAAAGCTTAATTAAAAGTAAAATAAATATAACGAATAAACAAAATCAAATACTGTAGTTAAAGAAATACCGTAATAAAAGAATCTATTATTAAAGGAAACTTTTAAAAAATGTCTCTAAAATATCCAATTTATGTTTCTAAATAATTTTCGTAATAAAATATTATTTAACAGAGAAAACGAATTTATAGTTTAGATTATATACGACAGCTATTATTTAGATAAGCACGCATTGTGTAAGTTTGGTAAGGTAACCGTTAAGATAAAGCTAAGGACTACTGTTCTGTGTCTAACACAATATATGCCTTATAACATAACTATAATTCTTTCCATGATATAATACCAAAAAATTTCTTATAGATTTATAAAAGTCCGTAAAATAGAAATACGTTTTAAAATTAATTTTATAAATTAGCAACTAATATTTAAGCTCTAATATTAAAATAACCATTACGAACTTTTCTCGATGTCATTTTAATAAATAAATAAATGTTTTAAATTAATATACGACTTATCTAAAATTCACGCAATGATATATAATAACAGCCGTAACATAAAATTTTACGTAGATTTATGTATAAAAAAAGACAGCTTATTGAGAATTTGCAAAACTTTTTTACCATCACCTGATCGTCTTTTATTTCAAGTTAAACAGTATAATTTATTTTATAAATTATTTTTCAAATAATATATCAAAGACTTTTTAGTATAATTTATTTTATAAATTATACTAAAAAGTCTTTGATATATTATTTGAAAAATAATTAACTAAAGTTTGCTTATATCTAAATTTATAATTTATAAAATTTTATCATATAAATCACGATACAAAACATCAAAAGAAAGGGAAACAAACAAAGTTTGGAAAGCAAGAAGTTACTTTCAGTAATTTTTATTTATAACTTTTTCCCTTCGTACCAACAATTTTAAGAAAGAAATTTTAAATGCGTTTAAATCATCTCCGTCTTCCTTAAAACACGTGATAATGCGATCCAAATAGGTAGTAGAATTTTAATAATTTTTATTCTTTGAGATAATTCAAATCGAATCTAATTCTACTCTTCTTAAAATACGTTATTACACGAAGAGTTTAAATGTTCTAATCATCCTTAAACATCTATCGAAAAAAAATATAAATCATCATCTTGCATACAATATTATTAATTGTTTTAGTATTTAATCGAATAATATGAATTTTCGAAAATACTAACAATCCACCGCTATGGATGAAAATTTCAGAACAATTGAATAAAAATTAAATTGTTCTGAAAGTAAGTTATAATGGATAATAAACACATACATATTTTTAAAAATGTATTCATTAATTGCTTACTTTTAACAACAAAGTAAAACAACTTTTATATATGAAAAGAATAGTTAATATCAGATAGAATGATAAATAGAAATTATCTTTAAACATATTTAAAATTATATTAAATAATTTAATATTAAACTTTTATTCTTAAATTCTTGTTAAATTCTTTTAAATTTGTTATTATAAACACTTTTAAAATATATTTTCTAAGAAAGTCAGTAGTAATTTTACTTACAAAAATTTTGTAATAATTTATTCTAAACAACATTGCTTAATCTTTTTCGTAATTTTTTTCATAGATTGCACAAGTTAATGTTAAGAGTGTACACTAGTGAATACTTCAACCTTAATATTAAAATCACTAACAATAACATTTTTTTAAAATCATATTTTAATTAAATTAAAATTTAAAAAGTCTAATACAATTTAGAATAATATTCTTCTCTAGCAATTTATGATTTCTTTCTTTAAAATGTCTACAAATTCTATATAAAATTTGTAATCGTCAATAAATTTCTTTTAGTCAAGAGTCCAACTATAAATTCTTTTCATAGTTGCTAATTTTAAATAATATTTTAAGTATTTAACGTAATAATTTGTTTTTATATAATCTTACTTTACTCTTTTTTACGTTAGATCACTCATTGCTAACATTGTCTTAAATAATCTGAGCGAAATCTCGATAAATTCCGAATATTTTTTTGAGTCGAATATACTTGTTATTATTAGTTAAAATATTTAGCTAAAATATTTAGCTAAAATATTACAAATTAATCAACTTTTTTTCTGAATTTAAGTCTAATTTAGTAGGCATCGTTTATATTTAAAAAGAAATTAAATTTCTTTGAAAACACAGAAAAGTAAATTGTAATTTATACAATAAATTTCAGAGATATACTACTGCTAATATAATTTATTATTTAAATTTTTATATATATTATATATAAATAAATTACTGGAAAAAAAGATTTTATCTATAAATTTAATAGTTAATAACATGCCTTAATTGAACTAAACGAACATTATAAAATTTATAATAATAATAATAGAGCTAGATGTTCCTTAGATTCTATTTATGAATTTTTAAGCACTTATATTATTCTCAGGAATGTATTTTTTTATTAATCTCTATGTAATCGTTATGAACATTTATTAGGTAGATGGTGTTTCTTTCTTTAGTTTTTTATTTCTCTAGCGTAAATTAATAAACATATTTAACATTTCTCTCAATGAGTCGAAATATGATATAAAACTTCATAGTTTGAACGCATGTAATAGCTTAAATATACAAATAATACAGTAACATTACTGTACTCGAACAAAAATGAAAAATAAGTGTTTTAAAAGTACCAGTAATAACTGCTGGTTATTAAAAAATCAATAAATTTTTCATATTCATTTAAAGAATAATTATTTTTACATTTTAATTTACTTTAGATTTTCATTTTTAATTGTGTAAATTCAATTAAGCCAAAATATTAGTCCTGTAGCTTCTGTTAATATCTTTAAATATCCTATTTAATTTTACAGAAAATTCAATTATTATCATTGTTTAATTAACATAGAACAGTTTAGGTAAATATTAAAATAAACTTTTTTAACTAAATATTTGTCTTTGATACTTTAATTTTCATTTTTAAAATTCTTATTTCAGGTTCTTGCTGAATTTATATTAATTTTAAAATTTTCTACGAGTAATGTTTTAAAGCATTATCGACATTTTTAGAATAATTTCTAACCTTAATTTAAGATTTAAAAAGGCATTTTACGATTAATTTAATACATATAAACATCAAAAATAAATAAATATAGTCTATAATAACGTGTTTTAAAAGTTTATTGGTTTATTAACAAATAAAATTTAGTTTTTATTATGGTATAATTCAAAATATATGAACGAATGTAAGAAATTAAAAATAGATCTCATAAAACCGGTATTAATTCTTAATAGTTTTTAAAATAAATATAAGGTAAATGCAATTTAACTATTATAACATATTTTATAATCTAAATCTAAATTTTACTGAAATTTGGAGTATATTCAAATACGCTGATGTCCTATAAGATTTTCTCTTATTAAATAAAAAAAAAAATATGGCAAAATTTATGATTCAAATTTTAAATATTTAAAGTTTTATATTTGCCAAAACTGGAATTTTTATATAAACCTAGAATTACGTAAAAATATTTAGCAACTGTATAATTTGCATATCGATGGATAAAAACGTGTCATTCATAAATAAGTAGCATTTAAGAATAGTTTCAAACAAATATTTTATGTTGATAAAACAGTTTGACGTTTCACTGTTCCATACTTTACACCACTAGTATTATGACTTTCATTTTCCATGCCGGAAACTAAAGATGTAAAGAAGAATTTATGTCGACTTTTAATACCTTTTTATCAGCATTATTTTTAAGAAATAGCATTAAAAAATTCTTTCAATCTCAAATTTTTAACATTTCTTATAATATAAAATAGATTAATAACTGGTTTAGATTGTCCTTACCAATTCATAACCCATATTGATTTAACGTCTTGATATCCGTTAATTTATTTATTAACTTTCGCTCATTTATCGATACCATTTCCTATATTTAATATCTGAAAAATGAAATATAATAAGATAAGATTTCGAAAATTTCGCATCAAAATTGTCGTGAAAGAAATAGAAAACGGTAATTAATATAAATTTAAATTCGGTTTTTAAAGTTAAATTAATATTTAAATTGTATAATTTTATTAACCTTAATATAACCGATTGATAAGTTAAAAATGTATTAAATTATACTAATTATCATTTATTTTAATTAAATTATATTTTAAATGTAATCAATTAATAGATTTATGAATTAAAATAACTAATCAATTCGGCGTTGTGAAGAGTGCACATTATTTTGTCAACGAGATATATTAAAATCAACTGATCGCTATAAACAACTAATCTAGATAAAAACACAGAGAAAGGAGATAAGAATGTACTCACCTGTATATAATCCATCATTGAACAGTTATTTAGAGACGAGTGAAGTAGTTGGGTGCGATACCGTCGAGTGTGCCACTTGGTGCCGGAAAGTTTTTATAAGGCGAACAGGGGTCACACCATTAACCCTCACGTGACTGGCCTCAGACAACGTCACTTCCTTCAGGCCCATCGTCCAAATGACGGGGTTAGCCAACCCGAGGGTCCATGTTCTCCAACTATCTGTGGTCGGTCAGGGGCACAGTTCCCACGCAGCCCAGTAACACAGACTTTGACGAATTTATCCACCGATGATGTCGCCGTCTTGTCGGCCAACCAGTGCGTGAGAAGTTGGCGTTCTTAAAACATCGCTCTTTATGAAGTCCCTCATGGACAGTACCGGTAGTTTATGAAGTTCCTTACAGAAAGACCTTCGTCGGATGAACTTGTATAAAGTGACCATTGTTAGTAGCGTTAATAACTCTATCATACCGGCTCTTAATGTTCTCGTTTTCCGAGCAAGGCTAGGTTAAAGTTCATTTTTACCTTCGTTAGCTCTTCGATAGAAAAATTATCACGTTTCGTCTATCGAGAAAATACGATAGGATTTTTTTGGTATATAAAATGGATATTTAAAAAAAACCACCAACGCGCCACCTTCTGAGACCAACCTGTAACTTGTGGCGGGAAGTCATAATTCAGGTGAGAAATCTGAAGTATGATCTGATGTCAAGCAACCTCTGTTTACCATGCCGCACCGTGAGAACTTACAACTCGAGACAATAAACCAACCCGCATTGTCACGACGCAAGAAATTACTACAAACCTCTCATTTACTGAAAAAGAAAGTCACAAACTGGTAGAGTCTTAAAGAGACGATCAAAGAAAGGTCAAATTACCTACTTTCGTTGATACAATGAAAAAAAAGAAAAAGAAAAAAATAAGGATGGTTTCTGTAATGACTACACTCTGAATGAAAATAAGTAAGGAGGATAGTTTTGGTGAATTAACCTTTACAATCAATACGAAGTAACCCTGTTACCTTATTTTGGCTAACCAACCTGATACATGACAGTGATGACGTAATAGCAGGTGCAGTACACCTGCCATAATATTTTTAACGGACAAAAATTCTGGAATTTTATGAAATTTATCATTTCATTGATATTAAAAATTATTATTTTAATAAATATAATTTTTATGAAAGCGAATATATCATTATTATTATTGTTATTACCTTAAAAACATTAAAAATATAGCAAAAGAAAGCTAATAAAAATATAATCAAAGCTATAAAAATTAAATTTTCACAAGATAATTAAAAACTTGAATAGCATTAAAATAATACATTACGCAGAGTAAAATCTGTTTAGGTATTTTTAAAAATAGTTAAATTAAACTGACAATTGAGGTGCTGTCGATTTATTTTCGATAAAACAAAAAGCATTGAAAAGTTAAAACTTAAGAAATGACTTTACTTATATATTTTCATAAAATTATTGAAATTTTATTAATTTATATCTTTAAAATTACATCAAGACTTAAAATTTAAAAAAATAACATAAATATTACTTCTTTATTTTTCTAAATATGTTAAACTTATGTAAAATAGCTAAAATATAGTCTAAAAATTTAATCTAAAATATCAAGAAATATTTATAGTTATTAACTTTTTTTATTTCATTAAAATTACGCAACTGTATAATAACGTTTTCGAATAAATCCTTTCTAACAACGTATTTGTATTTGATAGATGATTTATGGATTAATTAAACATTTTAAAATTCATTTGTAATGTTTATATAGTCTGTATATGTATTGACATGTATAATTTTTCTTTGTTAATTATTTCTCCTTAAAATAACAGGAAATGAATTAAATATGACAAAGGAAATTTATTACGAAATTGATATTATTGTATTAAATCAGAATATTCTACAAACAGGATATTTTAAATAGTTATTTCCATAATACTGTCAATTATCATTATGTATTAACGCCTAGTTTTAAATCTAGAAAATAATACTTTTGAGATAAGTTCATGTTAAATATTCTATCCAAAATATTTAATTTTGTTTCTATACTTGCTATTGGTAAGTTTATTATTATTTAAACAATGTTAATATAATTAATTTTCGTTTAAAAATCAGGTTTATTGTTTAAAATAGTTATTTTAGATTAAAATATAACTTAAACACGATAAATTTATAAATTCTTAATAACACTTTATATATTTTTAAATGAATAAAAATATATTTATAATAGATTTTAATTACTGTATTTTTTAATATGTCTAAGAATGATGTAATGCAGATGTTAAGCTGACAGATCTTAATGAAAATTAATAGAGCTTATTAAAAAAAATAGGCCACACAAGTTTAAATTTATATAACTACATGAAAAAATTCGTATGCACTTTTGGGTTTTGAATAAGAATTAATCCTTTGAAATAACCTTTTTAACGAAAATAAATAATTTTGTATTGTCAAAATTTTAATGATTATTAATAGGACGAATTTAAATGTCCTATAAAATATATGTTAATTAAATAGGTCGTTAATCTCGGATACGACGTAATAAATTCCAAAATAAGTACAAAAAATAAAGAATTCATGTAAATAAAGAACTAGGTAATACGTATTTTAATATTTTTAATAGAAATAAATATAATAAAATTATTTTCTATATTATTTTTTACTTAAATATAAAAGCTTATTTAATTTTAGAACTAATTAAGACAACTACTTTTTAAAAATATAATTATAAAATTTCATTAAGTCACATTCATTTTATTACTATTTAACTAACAAGTTAGAAATTATTATAATTTTCGAAATTTTAATTAGTTCGTAAGTTAAAAATTAGGCCTAAGTTGTTTTCATGTTTTCATGTTTTAGCTATTATAATTATGATACTTAAGACATATAGTTAAATTATACATTTAAATAATATAGTAAATAAATTAATTCTGTCGGGGATAAAGTTATAATAAATGATATTTTAGTAGCTTTAACAGTAAATTATATGAAACATTTCTTAATTATTTTATTAACTGATAACACATTCATATTAATGCAATATAATATAACCCCCCTATAACACTGTTGATTATTCTGTTTTATATGAATTCCATGTTGTACGAGTCACTTAGATTTTACAAATACGTGAGCCGTTCACAGCCCGGCACACGTATTTTTAAAATCTAAGTGACTCGTACAACATGGAATTCATATAAAACGGAATAATCAACAGTGTTATAGGGGGGTCGACTTGTATATAAATTTTGATATGAAAATCAACAAGTATTAGATACCGACATTTCAATGAAAATTATCAGGATTTTCTCCATTTCTTTTTTCCTGGGAAATTACAGTTTAAATATTTTAACGATGTCCGTAATTTTTAAACAAGAGCTTTATTTAAATATCGTAAACATAAACTTCATTTTGATTTTAGTCATGTCACAATAACATAAGCTACATTATTATGTTGTAAGTGAAAACTCTTAAAATCTATTTATAAAAATTTACCGAGAGAAAAATAATAAATGTGGTTACTTAATTTATAAATAAAAGTTAATTTTGTATACCTTATGATATTAAAATTTCGATAACAAAAACATAAACGTAAACGAATAGGCACTCTGTATAAGACTATATTTTGTTTGTAAGACGATGAATAAAGAAAACTTATATTATTAGAAAATTTTTTTATTGACTTAATTTCTTTCGGGCACGTTTAATGTTTTTGGAAGTCGAGAAGATTTTTTGTTCTCAAGTTTCTAATATTGTCCATCCGTCACTGACATCAATGGTGATGACGATTCTATCTCTGCCTCCAATTATTATGTCAACTGAGATATGTCGGTGTAGTTATCTTCATGAACTTCATTGCTGTCAGTTAAGAATGAAATAATCATACACAATAAATTACTTCTTCTAAAACTAATTAACATTAAAGAAAAAATTATAAAAACGTCTTGATTCAGTACGTGATAATATTCGATACTAGTACATTATCAATTACTATATGATATATAAAATATACACATTCATTTATTAAAAGGATATAATTAGTAACATTTATCAGTATTGTCTTTATAATCAACACTCTCCCACACATACGCGTATATGTTGGATAAAATAGGATACAAATTTGCCTTATCATCAATGAGTCAGACAACTTACGTCAGTATTTTCAATAGAAATTCTCTGTATACGGGAAATAAAAAAACCTGTAAAGACTTAAAAGTTGCTTGAACCGAATATTTGTGAAGCAATTTCTATTATTTTAATTTTAAATATATAAATAAAATAAGTATTTAATCTAGAAAACACTGTTTTTTTTTTACTTTGATTAATACTGCATAATAAATGAGAATAGATCTATTCTTTACTTTTTACTTTATTTATGCAAAAAATTTATTTATTTTATTATTCTAGAATTATTAAAACTTTATCATTTGTTAAAAATAAAAATTTGATCTATGATTGAAAAATTAAAGTCAATAATTGTTTACAATTGTTTTAATTACAATAAATGTATAAATTACATCTAAAAATTGTAACAACTAGACATACAATTAACAAGTCAGTAATAAAAATTATGACTAGTTACTGTACTTCACAAGTTGTACTCTATTAATTGTACTCTATAATATTAGTTATTACAATATCTTTGTGTGCATATCTTTACATTTATTATTAACTTTTAAAGATTATGTTATAATATTCTTTGCATTCCATCTACTGTTTTCTTTTTATCTTTCCGTTCTACAAAGAGTACAAGGTGTTCTACTTCATTGTGTTTGAATAAATTGTAATGAAATTACTATTATTATTAAATTTGTAATAAAAAGNGTAAAAGTTTAAATTTGAGAATCTTTGACGAAAATTAGAATAACCCTTTTAATGTTTAAAGTGTGTAAAATGTTGGTTAAAACGCGTTAAAATATTAGTTCTGTGTTTTTAGTACGGCATGACTTTTAAACGCGACAATTTTTACGACAAATTCCGGACACGCAAGGTAGAGTACAGGAATTTACTGTCATCATTCTGTT